TTAGTTTTCGTTCTACCAGTCAGGCTCCTCTGCTGTAGGACTGCTGAGGTCTACTCCAGGCCCTGCTTGCCTGGGGATCACCTGCAATGGCTGCAGAACAGTAAGGGTTGCTGCCAGTTTCTTCTTCTGCTACCTTTGTCCTAGAAGGTTACCCCCCAGATGTCAGTCTGAGCTCTCCTTTATGAGGTGACTCTTTGGATACACGAGGGTCAGGGAGCTGCTTGAGGAGACAGTCTGTCCTTTATAGGAGCTCAAGTGCTGAGCTGTGAGCTCTGTTGTTCATTCAGAGCTGCTGGGCAGGAACATTTAGGTCTGCTGCAGCTGAACTCATAAACGCTTTTTTTTTCCCCCAGGTGCTCTGTCCCAGGGAGTTAGGGCTTTATTTATAAGTTTCTGTCATGCTGCTGGCTTTTTTCAGGGCTGCCCTGCCAAGTGAGGAAGCAGCCTAGTCACTATCTGCCTGCAGAGGCTTTGCTGAGCTGCTGTGGGCTCCACCCAGCTGCCGTGTGAACTTCCTTGCAGTCATGTTTATACAGGTATAGTTAGAACTGCCTTGGTAATGGTGGCCCGCCTCTGTAATAGTGGGGTGCCTCGACAATGGCAGGCTGCCTCGGCAATGGCAGACTACCTCCATAGTGGTGGACTGCCTCAGTAATGGCAGACACCCCTCCCCCACAGAGTGGACCATCCCAGGTTCAGTTGTGCTTGCTGTGAAACTCTCAATCCAGAGCATTTAAGACTGCTTTTTTTTGTGGGGGTGGGACCAGCTGAACGTGATCACCTGCCTCCCTGCCTCAGACCCCATTTTTTTTTCCATTGAACAGGTGACTCTGTCTCCCAGGTGTTCCAGTCACCTGTTGAAAAGGTGCCGGGATCAGTGTGATTTCCCGTGTGGTGACCCACTGCACCAGCTAAAACAGCCGCACTGAGATTTGTGGTGCTTTTTTGCCTGGGAATCTCCTGGCCTGGCTCCCCGTTTCAGTCCCCTTTTTATCAGTTGAATGGGCGAATCTCCCAGGAGGTCCATTTACCAGCTAAAATAGCACCCAGACCCGTGTGTTTTATGTGGGGACCCGTCGCGCCGGCCAAAACAGCTGTGCTGGCAACCCATGGGGCTCCTCTGCCTGGGAATCTCCTGGTCTGTGGGCAATAAAAATCCATCTGGAAATGTGGTGTCCACTCACCCTCTGCACTTTCACTGGGAGCTGCAATCCTGAGCTGCTCTTAATCGGCCATCTTGGATCTGTCCACCTCACTGTTTTTACTATCAGACATAAAGCCTAAAGAGGTTCAAGGAACTAATATGAGCCAAAGTTTCTAGGACAATAGCTAGCAATTGGTGAATTTGCAATTTTATTCTTTTCTCCTCTGTCTCTTCTTCTTAAGCAGTAGGAATAAAAAAGGATAAAAGAAAAAAACATTGAAATGGAGACAAAATAAAATGGGAACACAAGAAAACCATTAGATTACTTGAATCTTCCCTTTAATTTCCAGTGGATTTAAGGCTGGTAGGGAACAAATTGAAATAAAGTACATAAAAATATACTGTGCTAAGTTCTTCCAAATTTAGAAAAAGCTTTGAACAATGAAGTTATCATTTTCTTTAATTATAAGCCTTATATTAAACATCTAATAAAAATAATGGACCACTAAGATTTACATATATTATAAAAAGAAAAAATTATAATTGTATTTTTAAACCTACAAAATTATCTTAAGTTCAATATAAAAAGCAATTTATGAGAACCAACTATATTGTTCTTTACATGAAATTGAAAATAGAGAATGTCTATCTTTAGAAGCTACCAGAGCACATGACTCTGGGACCATCTCTCATAATAACTTACTACCTGAGTGTATTAGTCCATTTTCATACCGCTAAAAAGAAATATCTGAGACTGCATAATTTATAAAGAAAAAGAGGTTTAATGGACTCCCAGTTCCACATGGTTGAGGGAGACTTACAATCATGGCAGAAGGTAAAGGAGAAGCAAAGGCATGTCTTACATGATATCAGGCAAGAGACCGTGTGCAGGGAGACTGCCCTTTATAAAACCATTGGATCTCATGAGACTTATTCACTATCATGACAGCATGGTGAAACCCGCCCCCATGATTCAATTACATCCCACTGGGCCCCTCCCATGACTTGTGTGGGTTATGGGAGCTAAAATTCAAGATGAGATTTGGCTGGAGACACAGCCAAACTGATCTTGCACAAGTTATTTCATTTCTGAGGCCTCAGTCTCTTCAAATGCAGAATAGGAAGACTAACACCTACTCTCTTCTTTACAGAGTCATTGAGAGAAAACTGTAAATAGAAAAGAGTCTAAGGAAAAATTAGAAGTGGTATAGGAATGAGATAACATAGTGTATGTTATATATAAGATGCTAGGGTTAATTCTTAATGTCCAAGCAGCTTTCAAATTATATAATTCACACTATTCTAGGCACATGACTCTGAGTCAGCATGAGCCATTTCTTCTGGATTAGACACAATCTTTTTGTCATTCTTACTCTAGAATTGTGTAGAACAGCATTTCTGAGTGTATCATTTTAAGATATGTGGATTTGTTGAGATATTCGGAGTTGAAACCTGGTGAAAATTCTTATCTAATAATGCAGAGAAATGGCAGGCAGGGGAATGTTAAATTCACGTAATGAACATTTATAAGCAGCAACTCAGTGCCACGTACTATCCTAAATACCTAGGGAAAGTGTGTTGGGGGTCCTAGGTTCAGTTCTTCAATAGGAGGAACACATAGTTGAGGCTATACTTTGTTACTGAAAGGATGCAAAGCAAAATTAGCAAAGGGAAAAATGGTTCTTGCAGCAAAATCTGGAGGAAATCAGGTATAAGCTTCCATGAGTCCTCTGCCAGCGAACTCATGTGGGATGCAGTTAATTCCCCTAGCAACAAGATACGATGTCAAATCAAAATGTTACCTACCTGGGGCGCTCAGTAGAGATCCAACACCCAGAGTTTCATGTTGGGGGCTGGTCATAAGATCACCCTCTGCCCAGCCCATACCAAACTTTCAGGCTCCCAGAGGAGATGCAAATGTTTGTCATAAACCACATTGTTTACACAAACAGTCTACACACAGGGGGCTGCTCTTATCAAGGGACACTGGGAACCCTGTTGAAATCCAAGTTCCAAGACACCAACAAAGGTCTAATGTTGCAAGCAGACTTTTGGAAGAATAACATTCCCAGGCCTGGTATGTTAATTCTTTTATGCACGCAGAGAAACAAACAAGCAATTGTGATATAGTTGGATACTTGCGATGATTAAGTCATTTGACTAACGTTTATTAACCCTTTGAAGGGTGGAGTAAGAACGAGCTAAATTAAATATGTTTGTAGTACTTCGTCAGACTCAACTCCATACTCCACGGCTCTCTCCTCACTCACTAACAGAGTACTTTTCCTATAAAAAGTGCTATGGCAGGACTCCAAATTCCTCCTCATAGCCTCCATCAAGAGCCGAGTGCACATCCTCGGGTGTCTGTTTTTCTGTCTGTTATATAATTTCTTCGTGCTTAGCCTCTTTAGTAAGTGCAAGGGCTACTCCTGTTTGACTGGATCAGACTTGGGGTTGACTCGAGGTGCCCTCAGGCAAGTTCCATACCATCCCTGCCCCAGCCAAGATTCCCAGCACCCCACATCTCATCTGGCTTCTCTGTCCCCTTTGTCCAGTAGAGGAACTAACCCATTCCTGGTTGAAGCCCTAGTTACTGGGACCTATTCCCTTCCTTTAGATAATGGCCTAAAAGCCATTCAGTTTCTACCCACAGCCTTGTTAATTTTCACATGGCTGCCAACTGCCTGGGAGTTGGCTGGGGCTTAGAACTTCAGGTTTCTCGGTTTTTCTTCTGGAATCCTCTCATGCAGGAGCTCTACGTGCTGTTACTGACAGCAACTAGTGTCTTCAGCATCTTTGCTGCTGCTGTTCCTACTGCCCTGTTCCGACTGGAGAGATTTATTGATTACCCCTAAACCCTGCCCTCTTTCCTCTTTCAGGAGCATTGTATCAAAAGCACCAAGCTCTGGGTTTTTTTTTTTTTTTTTTTTTTTTTTTTTTTTTTTTTTTTTTTTTTTTTTTTTTGGGNCTCTTGTTACCCAGGCTGGAGTGCAATGGCGCAATCTCGGCTCACCGCAACCTCCGCCTCCTGGGTTCAGGCAATTCTCCTGCCTCAGCCTCCTCAAGCTCTGGGTTTATAGGGCTCAAATTGAAGAGGAAAATAAATGGAGGTAACATACATTGTTTCCCAGGTCCCAGAATTAGCAAAAATAGAAAAGAGGTAGATGGTGACACTTGGGCCTCCCAATAATATCAAGCAGCACGTTCAGTGACCCAGCTAAGAATTACAAAGTAAACTTTCTCTTGTCCCTTCCCCACCCTGTCATCCACAGCCCCAGGCAATTCAGGCATTCAGATGTTCCTGGGAACTCCCAGATATTAGTATCAGTTCACCAAGAAATGAAGTTACTGAGGCAGTGAAGAGCCAAGGCCTAGAAAGCCGGGAATGCCGTGATGTGAAAGGCAAAAGGCATTCCCACTGAAAGGCAAGAGGCAGGCATAATCAGCCTTGAACTTTAGGGATATCACAGGCAGCTGAAGGAAGACAAGATGCGGAGTTAAGGTAAAGGCAAGACACAAAAATAAGAAATTTTTGTAATAAGTTTTTAAGAGGTGCTGGGGCCTCAACTAGGTCTGAGGTGGTGTGTGTAGAGTGGCGGAGAAAAGATGAGAAATATTCAGAAGGCAAATAATCGGGATTTGGGAATGGGAATAGGGGAATGGAGGGAGGGACCATTATTCCCTGTCTTCTGGCTTAGGGATCACTGGCTTTGGCATTAACTCTATTAAGATAAAGAATACGCAGAGATCAATGTTGAATCCAAACAATTTCACACTGTAGCTTCCCCTTCATTTTCTTTTCTGCATCTGAAGTGTTCTTACTGGGTTTGGTTTGGTTTGCTTTTCTCCTTGGAAGGTCCAGAAATGTCCTTGGTGTGTCTGACAGACTTTCAGGCTTATGCACGGGAGCACCTGTCTAAGTCAACTCGGGATTTTATCGAAGGAGGAGCAGATGACAGCGTCACACGGGATGACAACACTGCCGCATTTAAAAGGTTTGGTCTTCCGCAGCCTGTCTACTGTTAGGCTAAGGTGCACGGGGGGAGCGCTCCTTCGATGCTAGCAGTCCTGGTTTCTGCCTCCAAAAATCACAGACCACTCAAGACCTAGAAATGTGGGTGATGTTTTGTTATTTTGGCTTATTGTGGGCAGGGGAGGGAGGGTTGATGAGAAGTGGAAAAAAAGAGTATTTATCTTATCACTAGCATAAGTGAGTCATTCTCCTTCATCTCAGCAGCTATGCAACCTAACAAAATAGAACAAGAGTCCCAGAATGACCAGTTCCCTGGGCAGGGAGGATGGGCCTGCTGGGAGGCCTAGATCTCCTGAGTTCCTGAACTCTGGCTTGGTGAAGAAAATGGAACACAGGACAGAACGCTTTAGGTTTGGAGAAAATATGAAGATCCAAGGAGTCTTAACGATAATAAGAGATTGAGTCAAGGGAGAACAGTTAGGCTGAAAAAGCAGGAAGTAGAGCATCATTCAACCAAGAGCAGTCCACAGGCAGAGGTTGACCTGCCACTTATTTTTGTATGGTCCGTGAGTTAAGGATAGTTTTAAATTTTTGAATGGCTGAGGGGTAGGCGAGTCAAGAGAAGAAAAATTTGTAATATATAAATATTATATGAAATTCAGATTTTAGTGTCCATAAAGTTTTATTTTAACATATCCATGCTCATTTACTGTTGTGTATGGCTGCTTTTGCCCTTTAACAGCCGTGTTGAATAATCGTGACAGACTCTCTGGCCTTCTACAGAAAAAGCTTGCTGATTCCTGTGATAGACAGTCAGGAGAAAATTGAAAAACGGCATAAAAGGAGCCCTATGTTCTGTATTTTCACACTTAAGTAGCAGTATACTAGGCATCATACATCATTTATTTCATTTTGTCTTCACAAAACTATTAGGAAATTTGAACTATTATTCCTGTTTCACAGATGAAGTGACTGAGGCTACCTTACTCAAATTTCCACAATTAGAATTTTCAGAAAATTTTTCTAAGTTCATGTCCAGAAATAATAATATTGTGTAAACAATGAAAACTAGGCCCCTGAGGCTAAGTATATATTTATCTAAAAAGCATGTTTTGCCTATTTATTATCTGTAAATTCTCCTATCTTCTTCTAAAGCAGTGTTGAAGTCAAATCTTTAAATGAACTAGTGTCTATCACAGGAGCCTGAGTCGCTCCCTGGGATTTGTTCTCATTCAGTGGGCTTTTCTTACTTTCTGGAGACTTACTCGTGACCTGAGAGGAAAAGAGCCTGGAACTTCTTCCTACCTATTCTTCTCCTTTTTGTCCCTGTTATGATGAACCAAATCAAACCGTCCAAGTGCTACAGTGTAGTCAGGGAGGCGTGGCTCAAAGACACAGACCCTTGACGCAGCAAAGCAGGTATAATGTGGACTTGGTGTGCACAAGGGGTTCAGAGAAGGTTGGGGAATGGGGAACGAGGTGTCTGGAGTGGCTCCCAGGAGAAGAGCCTGTTCTGAATCCACGCAGGTTACTCAGCTCTCAGCCAACTGAACCCAGCAAGGTTCCACAGGACCCAGTCTCGTTTAGACTTGTATCAGGAATCAGGGGTTCACCCCAGACAGCACATCCCTGCTGCAGAGTTATCGCATCAACAGAAAATCCCTTTATTGTCCGGCACAGAATTCGCCTCCGTCCCCGGTACCTGAGAGATGTGTCTGAGGTGGACACCAGGACCACAATACAAGGGGAGGAGATCAGCGCCCCTATCGGCATTGCACCCACAGGCTTCCACTGCCTTGTCTGGCCTGATGGAGAAATGAGCACAGCAAGAGGTATGAACCATCACCCCGAGGCTCCTTTTCCAGAAAAAGGTGTCCCTCAGAGCAGTGGCAGAGTGCTCCAACATTCTCTCTAGAAGGGCCTTAGGAATGCAGTCTGGTTAACACTAAGGAAGGCAGAAAAGAATGCCCTGTGTAACTTGAGGATGAGAAAGCATTCATTTTCCATAATAAAGAAGAGTTAGAGTGGGAGGGGGCTACAGATGAATAAGATGATGCTGAAATCCAACCAAGTCATCCCTCAGGGAAGGGGTGCTGGCCCCTCTGGCTCACACCACCTGTAGGGAAAGGGATGCTTAATGCAGCCCCACAGCTAGGGCCCTCTTTGGCCCTGATGGGCCAGAGCTGGGGCTGAATGACAGTCTCTGAACATAGGATTAGGAGAGAATCCTGACATTAGGTCCTAACACAAGACGCTGACAGCTGCAGTTGCCCAAATATTCCATTTCCCTTCTCCTTAATTGAATTTGTCATCTGGTTTGACAAAGAGTTTCTTGTTGGGTTACATCTCTTTCCCAGTCAACCCTGTTCTTATGCCACATCCTCCTCCTCCACCACCACCACCATCACCACCATCACCATCAAAAATAATAATAATAATGATAATAATAAATAGAAAAGGAGAAATGGGGCTGAAAATGCTCTTGGGACTCTTTTGCAATCTTCACTCTAAGTCACATCTGTTTTCGTGAATCAATTGCTCAGGGCTTCCCTGAGGTCTTTTCCTTTGACTCCATGATGCAGGAAGCTATGAAGTCAAGGATTCTAGAGCTGAATGTGACATCCATCTTGATGTAGTTTAGGGACCATGGTCTAGCTAGTTGAAATATTAATATCCTATATTAATATGACGAGTTTACTAAATTGTCATGGTTGAACGTGTTGTTTGGAAGTAGGATGAAAGAATGGGATATCTCGTCTTGACATGAAAAATTGAAAATGTTAATTTTTGATTAGGCCAAATTCTCTGCCCATGTGTTATAGTGGGACACTGGCATTAGCCTGTTGTAGATTTCATTGAAATGAATAAAGTGGGAAATGGGAAATTTGCCAGTCAGCAGCAGCAGCATGAACGTCATCACCATCAATGTCATTAGCACAGGCATCTATGCGGAACGCCACTTTGCAATGTAAAGAATAGTCCCATAGTCAGTATCTTATTCAGTCTCCCAACAACCCTAAAAACATGTATTATTATTTTCCCCATTTTACAGAAAAAGAAAATGAGAGACTCAAGGCGACACAGCAAAGAAGGGGTAGAACTAACATTCTTCTAATTTCATGTGTTATGCTTTTTCCACTATGAAATTCAGGCTCCTCCACTGGAATGACATTCCCTCATCCTTACCTCTCTCACTGTCTTCTGCTTCATTAGGAGTTCATAAGAAGCCCAGTTTCCTGTCTGAAGGCTGTAACACAACCAACGTGGTTTTGGAGATTGGGTGGCATCTCTAGCTGGAAATATTTTGTTATTGAGTGGAGGGTTTGTAGGACAGGTTATACAGGGGAGAGTCCAGACAGCTTTAGGTCTCTCAGTCTGATCAAATTGCCTTCCATCCCTGCCTTACAAGGAAGCAGAATGAAGTTAAACTTTATCTGCATTCATGGGGCAAGAGGGCCAGAGGCTACACAGACTCCCAGGGTTTCTCAGCCAAGTCCAGACGCCTCTGCCCTCTAGCTTGTGCCATGTCTTTTGCTTTGCAGCCGCCCAGGCAGCTGGTATCTGTTACATCACCAGCACACTTGCCAGCTGCAGCCTTGAAGACATTGTTACTGCAGCTCCCGAAGGCCTCCGATGGTTCCAACTCTATGTGCATCCAGACCGGCAGCTGAACAAACAGCTCATCCACAGGGTAGAATCCCTAGGTTTTAAAGCTTTGGTAATAACTTTGGATACACCTGTATGTGGCAACAGACGATATGACATTCAAAACCAATTGAGGAGGAACTTAACACTAAAAGATCTTCAATCACCTAAAAAGGTAGGAAATATGGACAGGCATTACACTTGATGGACAGGCATTACAGAAGGCAAATTTCCTTTCCTCTTTTCTCTTTTCCTCCATTCTTTCTTTCCACAAGTATTTATTGAATGCCTGCTCTGTGCCAGACATGGTATACAGCAGTTTGTAAAAACAGATATGGTTCCTGCACCCGAGAGCTTCCAGACAAGCAGAATATAAGACCAAGTGTTCTCACCCTTGGATCTGGCCAACCTGTCACCAGAAGTGTCTGGGCAGAGCTGCAGGCTGAAAAATAGGAAAGCCATAAAAAAGATTTTTGCATGGAACAGGACAGTAACTAAAAAAGTTCATCCCACATTTGTCATTTTCATGACAAACTCAGAAAATGGTCATTTTGGATGGCATACGTAGACAAACTGACTCTTCAAAGGGGATGTTCATGACCAAGGTGGCTGGCCAGATAGTCCCGACAGGCCGGGTTCTACCCTGCTGTCTTAGAACTGAGGAATCAGTATCTCTGTACACATAGAATTCATTTGTGGAGCACAGGTTGCTATAGCACATTTGTTTGTCATCTCTGAACTAGGTGACTACGAAGGCCACCTTCCCCATTAAAATCCTATAATTAAATGGCAAGCAGGGCCTCAGAGAGAGACAGCCAGGATGAAGTTGGAATCCCTGGCTATAGCAGAGGTAGTAAAGCCAGGCTTTTCAGACAGTGGGTAGCTGTAATACCCAGCCAAGCAACTCAACGGTTCTCATTAATCACAGATTGGCCTTGAGGTGCTCCAAAATTCTTATTCACATTCCAGAAGCACACTGAGATTTATAAATATTTGATGTACATGGTGAGTCAAGAGTAAATATTGGGTAATAACTGATTTTGTATTGCTTAGTTCTTATCCTGGGTATGTTTTAACCATAACATAACACGTTGACCTATAAGTGCTTTTGCTTATCAATATCATATACTAACCTCTGATTTTTTTTTAAAGTAGAAACTTTGTCTTATTTGTCTTTGTGTCTCTAGATCCTAGCACAATTATTGAGCAGCAACATCATTCATGGTTAATGATAAGCAATTGAAGTAGAAATTCTTTTATACAAATTTTGTTTAAAAAGGGAGCTAGAAACATTGTTGGGTTGTGTGGCTCCCGTTTCTTTTTATTTTCTTTGTTGTTTGCTTTTGAGACAAGGTCTCACTCTGTCACCCAGGCTGGTATGTGGTGGCACCATCGCTGCTCACTGCAGTCGTGACCTCCTGAGCCCACATGATCCTCCCGTTTTAGCCTCCCAAGTAGCTGAACTACAGGCATGCATCACCATTTATTTTTTATAGAGGACCGGCAGCAGGGTTTCTCTGTTTCCCATGCTGGTCTCAAAATCCTGGGCTCAAGAGAGCTTCCAGCCTCAGCCCCACAAAACGCTGGGATTATATGTATGAGCCATCATACCCAGACCTGTTCCTCCTCCTTGAAGTTTATAAATGGCAACTCTCCAAATGTGTCTCATCTTTGGAATGCATCAGGTAGACTTGTGAGAGTTCAGGACTAAGTTCCCTTTTTATTTCCTATAGGGAAATTCATTACCTTATTTCCAGATGGCTTCTATCAGCACTTCTCTCTGCTGGAAAGATCTCTCCTGGTTTCAGAGCATCACTCGATTGCCCATCATCCTTAAAGGGATTTTGACAAGGGAGGATGCAGAGTTAGCTGTGAAGCACAATGTCCAAGGCATCATTGTTTCCAACCATGGTGGGAGGCAGCTTGATGAGGTTCTTGCTTCAGTAAGTGGGATTACTTCAGAGAGGGGTGTGTTTGTGAGTGGTGTGTGTGTGTGTGTGTGTGTGTGTGGCATATCCACATCAAGGCACTCTGTGAAATCTGGTGCATATTTCCCCCCTCCATACCACATGTGTTGGTATGTATTTGTGAATTTTAAAGACTGTTAATTATTGATAACAGCCTACTGTGTGCTAGGCTGTTTTTTCAACCTTTACATATAGTATCTCTAAGTCTCATGCCAATGCTGGAAGATGGGTGTTATTATCCCTGTTTTGTAAATGGGGATACTGCAGTTTAGTGATGTTAAGTAACTTGTGTTTAGCTCACACAGATAATAAATAGTTAATGTGGAATTTGATTAGACAGATGTTCTAAAGTAAACATCTTTTATGGCAAAACTCTAAAAACACCCTAATGAGTCTTTTGCTAAAATCTACAAAAGTCCATACTTTCTTCCCCTAACTTATAAACTTATGTCCATTATAGATGAAGTTTGAAGGCAAAAAAAAAAAAGGTGGGGAGGAAGGAAGGCAGGGAAATAATCTTTACACGGGAATTTGTTGTTGATTTGTTTTCATTGAGTTATATTTTTTCCAAATGTTCTATTGCTGCTTGACTTGTTTTAAGAAAGAGAAATGAGGTTTTTTCCTTTTCAGTTTCATTGACACATATAAATAAAACATGTTCGCTGCAGCTAAGTTAGAAAATATACATAAGCAAAAGATAAAATCAGCACTAATTTTCTCACTATCACTAACATCAATATTTTGATCATTGTTAACATCTTCTTAAGGCAAGTACAACTTTTTGTGTTTAAGAAACTTATAAATTATATTTTGTTATTTTATTTGACATAACATTAAGAGCAACTTTTCGTTTCAGTATATACGCTCCTCTTATTTTTAATGGCATGTTATATGAACAGACAACCATATAACCAACCTCCAACGTAGAACAACTGTAACCCCTATAATCTTTCCCTATTTTAAACAACACACGAGTGACTGAATCCTCAGCACATTCCCAAGTACTTCTATTTTTTTTTTTTTTTTTTTTTTT